TTCTGGCTATAGTCTACAGCATAAATTATCTGTCAGACTGCAGGTCTGGCTCTCTATCCACTGCACCACCAAGCTACCCATTGGTTTGCTGAAGAATCAGCCATATATCTGACAGCTCTGCAGACAGATACTTTCTGGTAGGTCAGTACAGACAGAAGGAGCCCAGTCAGTTGAGAGAGATTCATCCCTGGCAATCAAAAGAGCCAACAGTCCTCTTGAGAGGATATTATTGTTGCCTCTTGGTGAGGATCAGGCTTTTCCCTTCCCCCACCCCCAACCAGTACTATCTTTCAGAGGAACAATTTACCCCAAACAGGGTCCATTGCAGAAAGTAGGCTCAGGGAGCCCAGCTAAGTGACTAACTCAGCAGACACTGTGCCTGGGAGCGGGGGTGGGGGAGCAGCCTGAGAACAGCATGAGAAAGAAAGGATGTCAGGGTCTTGCAGTAGGGGAACAAATTGCTTGACCCCATGTATTTTTAAGGATGTGTCTCTATACCACTATATTCATACATGGGTGTTCTCATGTATGTATTTGTGGCAGAATATACTCCAGGTTTTTGGGAGACATGTTTTATACTATTGTGTTTGCTCCATGATTTCAGTAAACATTTTTGTTTAGAGCTAATTGTGTCAACTGGCTGACTGTTGAAGGTAGACAAATCAGTGGGGGCCTGTGATCCAGAGTTTCAGGAGTTCAGATTAACAGAATACTCTGAACCTGGACTTCCCTCAGGAGATCCAACCTGTGAATGTGAGTTGGAAGAGTATGTGAGAGAGGATATTGCATTACTATGTAACCTTGACTGAGTTACTTTCTTTAAGCCTTAAGTTTTCTCCTTTGGAAAGGGGATGGTCCAAGTCAGTGATTCTCAAAGTGTGGTTCAGAGACCCGTGAGGGTCCTTTCATAGTCCATGAGGTTAAAACTATTTTCATAATGATAGTGAGATGTTTTAATTTCTAATACAATAAAACCAAGGGTGTGCTAATAAGTGCTTAACAACCAGCTCTTTTAAAAAAAATTGCATAGCATATTTGTAAGTTTAATGTGCATTACTGACATTTTCTCCATCATTTTCTTAAATCTAGAGTCTAGACAATCAATTAAACAATAAATCAACTCCTGAATGTAGCATTTGTGGATTTCCAAGGTATAAATGGTCACAAAGAAAATTTAAAAATTATTTTGAAATAATTCTTAGGAGTATAAAGGGACCAAAATCTTTGAGACTCATTGGAACTAGGTGATCTCTAACATCAAATCAAGAGCTAAAAATCTGTGATTCTGAGTTCAAAGAGTATAAGTCAGGAAAATTTGACCATTAGGTCTCTAAGGAGTGAAGACATATACACACATATGTAATATATGTTTGAATATGTATACTTTGTGTTCAGTTGTTTCTGACTCTTTGTGACCCCATTTGGGGTTTTCTTGGCAAAGGGTGTTCAGGGAGGATTAGAACCTCTAGCGTGAGGGCTTGCCAACCCCTTTTCAGGGCTGTTCATCCACCTTTGGTGTCCAACCAGTCACTCTGTTCTCACCTGTGGCCCCAAGAAGCTATACCATGCTCAGCGGCTACACCCTGGTAAAACCATCTTGATAAATGGGCTAAGCTAGGTTGAAGGCAACAGATAGGCCCCAAGCATGTGAAGACATCCCCCTGGGCAGATGAGGACAATTTTTTTCCAACAGCCATGAAGGTGGCTAAAGCAGGCACAGTGGAGCACTTAGAGCTTGGTCAGACATTGAAGATGCCAAGGTCATCCACTGCATCCTGGGCCATTGCCAATTATTCTGACTTTTGTCCTGCCACTGTACTTATGACTCTGGAAGAGAGAGTGAGGCTGACAACTTTGTGTAGCTCTGCTTCACTTAAATCTGATTCATATGCAAGTCATCATCCTGTGATGTCATTGATTCTCTTTGAAAATGGACAAACAACAACATAAATATGTACATATACATAAAAATAAAAACACATGAATGTGTATATATCAATGTGCGTATATATACATAACTATATGTACATATAGTTTTATGCACATACATAAATTATATACACACATATACTAATAAACTCAATGGATTGGCCATCCAAATACATGCCATAATCTGGATGATGACTGGTTTTCACTCATTTAGTTTCTTTCTGTATCAATTGCTAGGTTAATCTTTTGATTAATCATGGATGTCTTGGAGGGAGCCTTGTAATATTCTGGGATTTGATGTATTCAACACAGTAGCATCTCCAAAGAGAGCACATGAAAGACCCCACAATCAATAAGGCGGCACTCTTCCATTTAGCCCTCACAGAATAAATCCTCTATAATAGTGATATACACCTTTGGCAAGCATTTATCTCTGTATCATCGAGTAATATTAACATATGGATGAGGATAGCTGTTTAGGCTGTGTTTTCCTGATGCCTTTTGTAACAAACAAGCATTAGCAGTGTGGGACCTTGTATTCTCTTAACCTATAAGTCAGTTATGTGACCAGAGTGATGTGGTCTGCTGTAGAGCTGTATGTGAAAGCTTATCTCTTTCCTTCATATATGCATATATTTTTTTTAAATCAAGAGTTCCTTTAATACATATGTAGATCATTCACATAAAAATTGTTAAAATATATGAAAGTGGGCAATTATAGATTGCCATTTTGGATATTAATGTTGTATGTGATTTTTTTTCCTGGTTATTTTTGGTATCTTCTCCTCCCTGAGCTATTTTAGAAAATAATTCCTCAGTTCTTTAAAATTTATGTCCTTTTCCTGCACTGATTTCTTCAGCATATATGTAAGTTTGGTCTGGCTATTCTTGAATTTATCTCAAGTGCCATTTCTACATGTAGTACATTAAGAACTAAAATATTAGAATCCAATTATGGTTACTCTGTTGTTGGTGATTAAAATAGATCATTAAGAAATGTGGTACAATTTGTTCCATTTTATGGCTATAATTGGTCATCTTGTGATTTTCATCTTTGTATGCTCTTGAGATGATGTGGCTCATTTGGGTTTCATGGCAAGATTTTTGTAGACTTATTTTCCCTTCCATTGCTTTTTTACAATGTTTGAAGTGATATTGCTCATAATTTTCTACCATCTTACTTGGCAGTGTTTTGCAAATGAACTTGTAGTATAAATTGACTTTGCTTTTGGTTCCGCATTTCTGTCTGAATGGCAAAGATACAATAAATGGTAGTTTCTGAAATATTTTACCCTACTTGTCATTGTAAATCTTTTATTGTAATTATTTTATTTGTTAAACTTTTGCAGAAAATGATGACAGTTAAGATTAGTATCTATGTCTTCCTTTATCCATTTCCCATTTCCCAACCATCAGTTTTAATAGGTTGAAGTTGCTAAGTTATTGCAGTTATTTATAGTGTCTTCTTATCTAATTTGATGTTGATTTTGACTTTTTCTCTATACTTTTTTAGTCTGTGATCTGACTGAACATGAGACAGCTGATTCTGATATTGCACATCTATAACTAGTAATTTTCTGCCTATTGAGATATAGTCAGCTTAATTTTCTTTGGTGAGTTGTTTGGAGCTTGTCTTATCCAATACCTTCATACTCTGTTTTCCTCTGTCTCTTTGTCTCTACCTGTCTTTCTCTGAATCTCTCTCTGTCTTTCTTTCTTTGTGTGTGTATGTGTGTGTGACATACTCACAGAGACAGGAAGAGAGACACAGAGAAAGAGAACCTTGTAAGCACTTAACGCTGTGAGGTACTACACTACAGATACACACAAGATAATCCCTGTGCTCAAGGAGCTTACATTCTTGGGGGGAGAGAACCACACATAAAGGGGAGCTGAAAAGCAAAAGGGGCAAGGTGGTTGTCAAGGGGGAGCAGGAGGAAAAGACACTTGGGGAGTTGAGTTGTGAGTACAGTGGAGCAGCATGGCAGGCCCCTCCTGATGCAGTAGTCCTGGTAGGCAGTCACAAATCAGGAGTCTGGCCTCTGAGTAGAGCTTTCTCTACGGAGACAACGTACCACAGATTTCCAACTTTTTTTTTTTAACTCCTAAACCGTGGTACATAGTCAAACATTCTACAAGCATTTATTAAGCACAGGGTGTCAGGCACTGTGCTTAGGTGCTGGGGATACAAATATAATAAATGAAAAAAATCCCTTCTCAAAAGTTTACATTCTAACACATACAAATACAATTAACCTACTTACTAGTCCTGAGAGCAAGTGATACAGGATGAAGGGGGAAGGAAGAAGATACCCTCTTCTATTTTTCTTTGTATGGGGCCAGTCCTGGGCAAAATGTTTAAGTGGGCAAAGTTTGCCTTGGTCATCTTCCTATCTCCCTCTGAGCCTCTCTTCTCTCTCAATGCCCTTCCTCTAAAGTGGTCCCTGACTTCAAGGAGTCTCCACTTTGGCTCTTTATCCAGTCCTGCCCTAATCTCCAAAGTGCATCATGTTCCACCATTACTTACCTCTCTTGCACCATGACCCATCTCTTCCCTCTTTAAAGTTGTTTTTAGCTAGGTATTAGAATGAAAGCAATCTGATTGAATACACTATTCACAGTAATATGTGATTGGTGCATTTCTCCTTTACCTCCCAGCATTTTTAAAAGAGGAATTTGTAAATCCGAATTTGTTTCCAATTGGTGGAAATGCAGGCTGTTAGAAATTGTAGAGTTGAAGTATATTCTGGTAGTCCCTTTCTTGGTTCAACTCCCTAAGCCCTTCCTGTTTTTCATAGCTTCTTTTCTTTCTCCTTTTCTAGACCTGTAGTCTAAAAGCTTTATTTTTTTCTAAATGGCGTCTGTGGCAGTACATCATGGCACTATGGAAAGAGCATGAGTTCTGGACCCAAAGGCACTTAAGAGACAGCTAGGTAGTACAGTAGATAGAACTTGGAGTTAGGAGGTCAGTCACAAGTTCAAATCCAGCTTCATACACTTATTAGTGTCTTATTATTTATTTATTTATATTCTTAGTCACTTATTTGAGGCCTTGGGCAAATGACTTAATCTCCATCTGCCTCTGTTTTCTCAGCAATAAAATGAAAATAAGTAATGCCTACTTCCCAGGGTTGTTTTGAGCATCAAATGAGGCCTGGGTCCAAACTCCCCTTCTGACACTGCCAATATGACTTTGGACAAGTTATTTAACCTCTCTAGATTTCATTTTCCTCGTCTATAAAATGAAGAGTTTGGACTAGATGGCCTGTGAAGTAATTTTCAGCTGTAGGTCTATGGTCTCATGATTCCCTAGAAACCTGATGGTTGGAGGGAATGTGGGTGGCTCAGCAGGGAAAGAAGGGGTTAGTTTTAAGTGGGCATTTATAAGGTCAGACATCCCTTAATGATATACATTGCACAGACTAACCATATTTTGTTAATATAGCCATTGAAACTGATCACAATATAATATCAGTAAATGAATGTAACAATATATCTTTTGTTGCTTGGGTTGGAAAACATTTTGAAGTAAGAGAGGTAAGGGAAGTTGTTTGTGATACTGGCAACATTTTCAATGCTGTATGATTTCAAAGAAGATTCTCCATTGAAAAGAGCTGTATCCAGGAATGAAACATATAAAAATGTTTGCCTGTCTGTGGGCCATTTAGGCTTATCTTCCTTAAAATCGCTGCCACCACTGCTGTGTATCAGTAAGCTTTGCTCTGGGAACTGATCCTTGACCTCTGTGTTGATTCGAAGTCTCTTCAGTCCCCAGATAACCAGGTATTCTGTTGGGAGGGTAGTAGTGCTACATAGGGAAAGCTTCAGGTCCCTAACCAATGTAAAGTTCAGTAGGAAGCCCAGTGCAGTGGTGTCTGTGAACCAGATAGTCAGATCACTGTCATAGCTGGCTTGCTCTATTGTATAGGGCAAAACAGTTTTACAAGTGCACATCAGATTAGCCAAACTGTAATCACAATCCCGTATATCAGCAGAGCAGCTGCAGTTTCGAATGGTGTTTTCCTTGGTGAAAATCAGTGTATTGTTCTTTTGACCTCTTACAAAGCTGCAGTATGCAAAGAAGCCAAAGAAGCTAATTAGAAGGAGGTGTTGACCAAAGGGCAGAGCCATCTTTTTCACACATAAGACAGTGACACTCATTTGTTGGGTTGTCTTTCATTCGATGAATCAAACCAATGCCAACCACCTGGGAGAAAACAAAGAACCTTGTCACTACAAATTCCTCTTAAGAAAATAATTTGAGAAAAATGAAGCATCTATATTGCAATTCTGGCCTTCAGTTTCTGGTTCTATCGAGGGCACAAAATACTGAAAATATCAAACCACAGGCAAAGGGCTTTTCCCAGAAACATACACAGGATTACAACCACTTTATTGTGCCTTCCAAAAGCCCAGGACACCACCCACTGATAGCAGCTGTCATTGCAATAAATGTGCCAATGAAGGAGAGAGAATGCCAGAGCTGAAGCCTGCCATGTAACTGCTGAGAGAAGCTTTTATAATCTGTAGGGAAAATGAGTGATTTGCCGCTATTTGAGTAACACATCTTTCAGGCATCCAACTATTAATGTTTAGTAACTATTTGACCCATCAAACATGGCCTACTTTCTTCCCCCTTTGCCCTCCTAAAACAGGATTTTACAAAATTTACAACACAGCTTTTTGTTGAATTCATCTTTTCCCCCACATTCTCCCCATTGTTAAATATTAGACAACATACCACAAATACCAATTAAATGTTTAGTTAATGGTAAACTTCAACTTGATTCACCCGTATTTTTCTTCTAGCTGGGCTCCATTTTTTTACCCCCTTGTGTTATCTAATGATCTAGTTCATCCATGTACTTGGTGCTTTCCCAAGGTGACTAAAGATTGAAAGTGATAGGTTGAATTAATAGCTTACATTTGTTACTATGTATAAACAAACAATGACAAAGCTAATTAAAGGATAATTAAATCATAATTACTTTTACCCATATCATTCCTGTCTCAGAATAATATCATGCATTGATTGGTTTTTATATCTATGTGTACACATAGCGTATACATGACACACAATACCTATATATCTACTGGGCAATAAATAGTATTATGTTGTTCAGTCATTTCAGTTGTGTCAGATTCTTCATGACCCTATTTGGGATTTTCTTGGCAAAGATATTGGAGTAGTTTGCCATTTCCTTCTCTAGTTCATTTTACAGATAAGGAAACTGAGGTAAACAGAGTTAAGCGACTTGCCCAGGATCACACAGCTAGTAAGTGTGTGAGGCCAGATTTGAATTCAGGAAGATGACTTCCTGACTTCAGGTCTGCAGCTCTATCCACTGCACCACCTACCTACCCAAGTAGCATTAAGCACTATACAAAATGGAATTATTGTGGGAAATTACAAACCTTTCTCTTCCTGGTTTGTGGGGAGGAGTGCAGAATGAGGGGAAGACCAGTGTCTGGCTCCTTATTCCTCTTCCTAGATGTTTTGGGAAACAGCTCTGCATTTTAATAAACACACCCAGTTGCTCCACGGGAAATATAGGGAACATAAAGATGTTTGGAGAGAAACTATAGTGCTGTCTCCAAAATTTTAGACCCAATGGAAAGTACAGATGTGAGTACTACTCAGGCATTGGGGGAGAGAGAATGCAAACTGTAATTAGCTGCTATGAGCCAACAGGGGATCAGAGAAAGATACCAACTTGTAAGGTACATGAGAAAATGATTCCTTTAACTCTTAGGATACTTATTCAAGAGGTTTTGGGCTGTGAGAACCAATGTGAAAAAAAGGCTTTAAAAAATGGAAGGATTCTTGAGTGGAGACACATTTTGGCTTATAAACACCTTGGGACAAGACAGAGAGTCTGGAATTTTCTTCCCTACCTATTTTGGACAGCTGGTCCTCTGGAAATGGGAACAAGTGCCATATGCTAGAGACTGAAGAAAACCAGGGAAAGAGATAGTAGGAAAAACTTAAGGGCAGCAGAAAATAGACAAAGGGGTCTGCAAATGAATGACCATAACCTGCTGAGAGATGGGAATTGTAGGGCAAGATGCTACAGAGGAAAATGAAAAGGAGCAGTGAGTGATAGAAGAAGTAACTAAAGGTAAGAGCTGATACAAAACAGCAATGAAGTTAGACATGCAGGGGACCTGAGGCAGGGAGAATGAGCACAAAGGATCATTGTCAGATGCCCCCTTCTGGAGCCCCACCCATGGCTGTATTATAAATAAATGAAACTCTAGGTCTTGGGGACAGGATTGCTTTCTGGTGGGGATTATTTTCTGTGGGTTCTGATTCAGGTTGTGCTTGCTTTCCTTGTTTTCCTTGATTTGTAAATGCATCTTCTCATGATTTGAGTTGGTGACATGTATCCTGGAGGTGTATGTCAGATATTGAAGCTCCCAGATTATTTGGGTGGGGGCAGTGAGCCAGGTAGTGAGAGGTTTCTAAAGCCTAGCCTTGCCCTTCCTATCAGGAGGGAGCCTGTCACACAAAGATTACATAACAAATAGGAAAACAGTCATAAACAAAGTAATCTTGTATGGTTTGGAACAATATTAACAGCAAATTTGGCAAATGATATTTACACATGTTCCATAGTCTCTCCAAGGTACTTATTTTCCACACTGTCATGATTGTCCCAGAGGTAAGCTCCCCTGATGCTTCTTTGTGGAATAGTTCCTTCAAGGGAGCAAGCTGATGGAGTCTGTACATATTTCACACCCCTATTACATTTATTTAAGGATGGAGATATTTGTGATTGATCGAAAAGTTGGCCACTGGGTGATGATGTCATGATTTCATGAAGACCTCTTAAGTAGAAAACAAACTAATATCCTACCCCTTCATTTTATAAATGATGATAGAAAGGGGAGAAAAGATACTAAGTTTCTTAGACAATCTACAAACACTAATTTTCCTGATGGTACTCTTAGTAAGTGTCCAACCACTGAGTTGATATGTTCCTGGATAAACTGAACCACATCCAAATTTTTATTTACATTATTCCTGCTGACTGAAGAGAGGGGCTTCAAAGGAGAAAGATGAATATAGGAAGTGATCAACGAGGTAAGAAGATGCTGTCTGAAAATAAGATTTGAGTTTCTGTACAATGATTTAAGGTAAGTCACTTAACCTCTCAACCTCAGTTTCTTCCCCTATAAAATGAGGATAATAATACTGTAACACTTTCCTCACAGGGCAAGTAGGATAGTGTCTAGAAAGTGCTTTAAAAACCTTGAACTCCTATATAAATATGTATTGTTGTGGTTATTATTGTTGTTATCACCTCATTCTCATATTTTTCAATTGGTTTCAGATAGAAGTGGTCCTAGGACAAATAACTATCCTATTGTTCTTATATATTTAATATTCTACAATACTGTTGCACAGGCAGACAAAATAACTTTTTTTTTCATAGTTAAATAAAAACATTAGTATGTAAATTTATTCTCTATAGGCTCACTGAAGACATTATCACTGTAACTCCACTAGGAGATAGGGCAACAAAGATGAATACACCTCATTCTGTTTCTACATTATTTTGGTCTCCTCTGCTATGGCTCTACATTTTGACAACTTTTTGTTTCATGTAGTTTGGAGTTGTTAACCCCCAATGCAATAAATTCCAGTGGTTCCTTATCACCTTCAGAATCAAATGTAAAATTATCTGTTGGATTTTTAAAGCTCTTCATAACCTGGCCCCTTCCTACCTTCCCAGTCTTCTTGTACCTGCTACCCACCAAGTAATCTGTGATCCACTGATATTGGCCTCCTCGACGTTCCTCTCACAAGACACTCCATCTCCAAACTTCAGCACATTTTCACTGGCTGTCCCCCATGCCTGGTATTATTTCCCTCCTCATCTCCCTCTACTGGCTTCCTTCAAGTGTGAACTAAAATCTCACCTTCTGCAAGGAGCCTTTCCTGATTTTTCTTAAGAGGTAGGGTCTTCAATGTGGGATTACCTGAAATTTACCCTCTATATATCTTGTGTGATAAGAGAATTTTGGGCTTAATTTTCTTACCACCATTTACTTAAGATGAGGTTGTATAACTAGAGCCAGCAGAATCAAGCTGAGATGTGAAATTATAGCTCCAGTGTTAATGTTTAGTTTGCAAATTCCTGCTATAACCCTGGTGTTTACTGACTAGTTTATTATTTTACCTGAAGTAGATCTTCCCTTTCTGCTATCCGTTCTTTGCGTAAATCATTATCTTCTCTTCTGTCTGTGCACATCCTTCCAATATAACTAAAATCTATATAAAGCTACTGAAGCTGCTGCTTAGGGCCCACTGCTTTTTTGTATACAGTGAATCTATGTTCTGAGCATATAATAAACCAGTTTTTCCAGCTATCTGTGTGTTGATAGATATGACTGACAGCAGTGCCTATCAATGAATCCTTGAACAATTTTTTTATATAACTTGTATATTGTCTCCCCATTAGACTACGAGTTCCCTGAGAGCAGGGATTGTTTTCGTATCCCCAACACTGAGCCTGGCACCTAGGAGGCACTTAATAAATGCTTTTTTATGACTTAAGATTATGAGGATTTGGTCTGGAGGAATCTACTAAAATGTTGTTCTTAAGTTTTGTGGATCAGTGTTATTTCTGAGTAGTTCTCAGCAAAAATTTTGACTAGTACAGTTTATTGGTTGAGTGTATATATGTATGTGTGTATATTTGTGTATACACACATGCATAATTTTTTGAGGCAACTATTTTTATGAAGACCATGAAAGTGGTGTTGATGTCTTGTTTCCCTGCCTTTCATTCATAATTTATGTTATCATATAAGATATTTGTCATTATTTTGTTGTTTATAAAAGTGCTGACAACCTGGAAGGAACAGGTTTCCTGTCCAAGTTTCCATCGTTATGAAAAAAGGATAAATCCAATGTTGTACCAAAAGCAGTTCCCTAATTAATCAATAAACATTTATCAGATGACTACTGTATGCCAGGCACTGTACTAAGGAATACAAAGAGAAGCAAAAGATGGTCCCTGCCCTCAAGGTCTTACAATCTAACAATCTAATAAAAATGCCTAGGGCTAAGAGATGGAGTGCCTTGCTCATGGAATAGTCCAGAGACCAGTGTCACTGGATTGAAGAATTATGTGTTGGGGAGTAAGCTGTAAGAAGACTGGAAAGGTAGAAAAGGGATAGGTTATGAAGGGCTTTGAATGT